GCAACAAGGAGCCGCGAGCTAGAGATGTTTTTTTCAGAGTCAGAGATGTTTCTCCAACAAAGGTTCTGTTGCAGAGGAGGTTTGCAACAACGATTTTGTAGCAATGAGGAGATTGTGTTTCATAATACTAATAATGGAAAAGAACGTCTTTTTGTTGCAATAAGTCCCATGTTGCAGAGACTGAGTGTTGGAAATCACTGGTTTCAACGGGGTTCACATGGGGAGATACAATGGTCGTTCTAGCTTTCATCCAACAGCCGGGAGGTGGTATATCTTTTCAGACCTTTTGAAACATTGTTGTTGTTTTTCGTTTATCCCAAAAAACAGTTTCTGAAAATTTTCCGTGGGTGCATGCAGAGACTTCATGTTCCATTCCATTAATGCTATTTTTGCAGATGTTATGATTTTGTAGTTCTTTCCCGTGAGTTTGCTGTGCGTTACACAGCTGACGCTCATAAAGCTTATACAGAATGTTGTAAGCCCTGAATAATCTTCAGATTCCAGCAAATGATAGGTTTTCATGTCCTCGCAAATAATAAATAGAAGCTCCTTATTAGTTGAGCTTTAAGTTTCCCAAAGAATCTAAAGCTTCAGATACGGTATGTTACCGCAATCCCACCCAAGGAGATTGCTCAGATCCTCTTGAGAAGCGCTTTCAGATGCGGCTGTAGACTGTTTGTGATTGTTGCCATCTGAACGACGTACGAGAGCTCCCCATCCACCACCTGAAAAGCCCTCGTGATCTGCTTCACCTGACAAAATTATACAAGATTTCTTAGGAGATTCAGGCAACTTGGGCGTCTGCAAGACTCCGTAAGCGAGTGGATAACCCTGAAGATGACCTTCCTACGAAGTTTACCAACTCCAACATGGAAAGACAATGTACATGATGGTCGAGACTTGAGTGTTGCAAATCTATGACAAAAAATACAATGAAGTGCCGCCAGCAAGATGAGTCAATACCCCTCCTACTTCGGTTCATGAACACAAAAGCAGATCTAAGTGTCATAGTTTCTGAGTTTTAAACAAAAAGACAACTGCAGATGGAAGCAGGGCACTGCTTCCAGAGTTCAGAAACTTTACATGCAGATTTATCCCTTGTTAAATATAGATATATGGGTGCAAATATAAATTTCTATTAGCTCATAGAAGACGAGATAAAAGCTTAGTATATCGCGAGTTCATCACCTGGACAGGTGAGCAACGTCATCCCATCCTGATTCGCAGAAAACAAAATACACTATCCCATCCAACTTAAGAGTCAGATTACACTCTTTTGACAAATATTCGGCCATGGTAGGTTGAATGCAAAAACAAAAATATTGCCACATAGTCAAAGTAAAATTGACCCTCAGAACATCATGTGCCATAGTAATAAAGATAGTCGGAATAGATGATAACAAGAGACATCATATATAATCGTCCTAGGAGAAGTACCTTTGCTGCATTGCCAATAAGTTCGCTTTGGAGTGTCACCGTTTTCTTTTCACTATCATATGAACCTGTCTGCATTTTAGAAGCAAAGTTGTGGCAACAAATAACAGTTTAGCTAAAATAAAGAAACATAAATAACTAAAGTAACAAACCAATTTATTTAGTTCTCACAAAAAAACTTGTTTTGCTTAGTGATATAAATCACACTCCGATGAAACCTAATTCTTACAATGCCCGCGTGAGTTATGAGCTATGGCCTTGCGAGTACCTTTGGCCCTATAAGCAACATATATAAGAGGACCACTATTGTTTGGATGTGCCCTCTCTAAAATCATTTATCAGCAAGCCTCCAGTGCTAGTTTTTGGTATTTGAATTAACAGTTGTTTAGCGAAAATAAAGGGAAAAAGGGACCACCAGTTGCAACGAATTTGCAAAGAGAGCGAATATCTCAAGCCTACACTATCTTTAGTCAAAAATTAAAACATAAATACACATTTAACTTCAAGCAGACATTTCATGGTGACGAAACTACACTTTCACCTTTAAAATGTAAATTTAAAATATACTTTGGTATAGTTTGTAAAAATACTAAAGGTATTTGTTAGTTTTCTGATAAATTTTGACATAATAACTATAGGTTTGTGCCATTTATTCTTTTGCAATATTAAAGGATCCAAATATTGCAGGCGTCAACTCGCTTCCTATTTGTATATCACATTCCTTTCTATTCTACTCCCTTGGTACCATAATGTAAGACGTTTTTGCAGTTCAAATTTTACTGCAAAAACGTCTTATATTATGGTACTGAGGGAGTACATAAGAGATCAACACAACTCCACATAAATCAGTATTAATATTGCAATGACATCAATGCTCCTTTGACCCTTCTTTGCGCAGCTTCGCAGGTGAGATAAGGATAATTAACCCACCTACTGTTGCAAGCAACTATGCTAGAATGTTGTTCAGTATCCAGTTCAGAATCTTCAGATATGAACAATATAACTGCAGCATGCAGACACCTGCCGTGCAAATTATAAACTGGGATTGCGATGGCCTATAACGAATACCAAGAGGCAATATCCAAACAGAGTTGCCATTTGCAGCTGCCTCCAAAATGCATACCATACTCAATCTAGCATCAGACAGAACGATGCTTGCAAGAACTCAATGGGCAGTCAGTACGAACACACCTGGACCTCGGTGAGGCCTGTGCTCTGGGCGATGACCACCTCGACGGAGCCGTCGGGGCGGGGCCGCCAGTACCCACTCTCGGCGTGCATCGGGTCGCCGGACGCCGCCTTCCACGTCCTCTGCGTGTACGAGATCACCGGCTGCGCGCACCCACGCCGAGTCAAGCAAAGGCATGAAAAGCTCTAAGGATCGGCCAACCGAAGGCAAAGTTTCTGCCACGGAGGGGACGCATACGGCCCGGAGACGGCGGTGTACCTTGGAAGGGTGGTGGGAGAAGAGGATCTCCTCGCCGTAGCGGAACGGGGCGATGGAGGGGAAGGTCCCCTCGCCCTCGCCGCGCCACTTGCCCAGCAGAAACGACAACGGAGCCACCAATGGGTGCGGCGCCGGCGGCTGCGTTGGAGGGCCGGCGGCTTCCATTTCTTGAAGTCTCCGGTTGGATTTTCGGACTGGTCTCACCTCTCTGCTCTCTTGTTTCGTGAGCTGAACGGGACGATGGGGAGTGGCTTGGGTTGCACAATCTATTTATTTTTTAACCGTAACCGTGGGTTGCACAATTTTCACCCAACCGCCCCCATTCGGTCAAGGATTTGTTGCTGACCCACCCAAAATCCTATTCATTCGAGAAAGACGGTCACGCCCACAATAATCATGTTAACTTGGAAAATTTGAAACAAGCACGATGGCAAGATGTTCCACAATTCGTCAAGCATGTCAAATCTTTGCAAGCAGGTGAACTCGGTAATTATCTGCACGCTTCACTCCCTTTGGCCGGAGAGGAACCGACAGGTCTTTGAGAACATCACTCTCCCCCCATCGGCGGTCATCGACGAGATTCACATAGTTTTTTTTTTCGAGAGTACGCCTAGGCGTACCATATTTTTATAGAAGGCAGAAGTTGAATTACAAGACACTACGACTTGCTGCGAACAACAAGTGTAGCAAGACTGCACACCCGAGCTAATCAACAGGTTAGCCACCACAACAATTACAAACACGGCGCAAAGGGCCTGCCCTAAATCAATCCTCTAGCCGCGTCACACAAATGCCGAACACCGCCAAAAGCAACAACTTCAGCCGGGTTCTCTTTGCCAACGCACTACCCACCCTTGAATGCCTAAGAGGAGACGGCAAGTAGGTAGCGGGACTCGGTCAGACCTGAACAAAGCCATCGTCTTGGGGCACCGGCAGCAGCGTACATAGCGCCCACGAAGATCACTCGGACCAGCAGGAAGCACCGGAGAACCACATCGCAAAACCGCCAAGCCAAGTCACCGTCCACGATGCTCTCAACAGAGTAACGACGTCCAGACGCCGCCATCGCCGATCCTACTACGGACCAAGGCTTTCGCCCGGAGGTCACAACCCGATCGAGAGGGGGAGATGCCGACACACTTCGGCGACGCCTCCAAGGAGAGGAACGACACCCAAAGGCGCCGTCGTCGCCAGCTCCAACCGAAGATGAGCAGGATTTTCATCAAAACCATCGCACACCTCCCACCCCTGCCATCGGATTTGGCCAAACAATTGATGCGAGGCCACACCGCCGCTGCCACAGCACCTTGCCGTCATACTCCAGCTGTTGCGGAACACCGACCCCTCGCACGGCCAGGAGCACGCAGACCAACCTCCAGCTCCTACACGGACAAAGAAGAAGCACCAGCACCAGCACCATCACCACTCCAGTAGCCAAGCACAGCCGGCCACAGGCAGGGCTGGAGACGCCACTCCTGGCAGGCAGCAGCCAGCCGAGCCAAGGCTGCGCCCCAGGAGCACGCACGCGACAGGCCAACGCACCACCGCCCTCACGCGCACGCGAACCGCAGCTCTCCCCGCCGCGAGACCCAGGATCGAGCGCCCAGATCCGGTCACGCAGCCACCAGCTCCCCAAGGCGCAGCCTTCCACCTCCATGCCGGCGACAGCAGGAGGTGCATCGCGCGCCCCGACCTCCGCAGCGTCTCCCGGCCGCCGCTCCAGGCCCAGGCCAAGATCCGCTGCGGCCGAGATCCCTCCGCGCCACACCCTCCGACACCGCGCCGGCGCCATGAGAAGGTTGCCGCCCCTCACCTCCCGACCGTGCTCTTCCTCTCCCAGTGCTCCCCGCCGTGCGCCGCCACTCCGGAGACATCCATCGCGCCGCCCGCTTGACGAAGCTTCCCCGCGCGAAGAAGGCCCGTCGGGGCGCGCCACCCCCGCCCGCCGCCTTTGACGGCCGGGCGCCGCCGCCGCTGCCGACGGCGGCGGCGGCCGCGGCGGCGAGGGAATCGTGGAGAGGAGGGGTGCTTGGGGCGGCTAGGGTTTCTCCTCCGGAGCCGCCCGCGCGAGCGGCCCGGGAGGGAGAGGGGAAAGTAAGATTCACATACCTTCCCTGAATATTACATAGTGAGAGGGTAATATTCAGGAAAATGTTTTACGTCGGTGCGCCGGCCGAACGCTAGGCCGATCGCACGTAACTCGCGAGGCTCCTCCTCCAATCGTTTTCTTTCACCTGACGTTATATCTTCTTCCTTCCTTTTCTTCCCAACTCCACCAAGCAGGATCTCATGACAACGCCACAAGCTAGTCCAAACACCACCTCCCGTCATTGGTTGCGACCACCGCGAGCTACTCCATGACCACAAGCTACTTCGTCCACCTCCCGGCTATGTTTTTTGCTACAACTGGATACATTTTTTGCTACAACCAGCTTCTTTTTTGGTACAAACCAAGGATGGCGAGCATGGGGACCACGCGCGGCGGCTTGTTTTTTGCTACAACCGACCTTTTCTTGCTACACCCGGCTTCGTTTTTTGCTACAGCCGAGGCTGCTGAGCATGGTGATCGCGGGCAGCGAGGATGGGCGGCACTGCTCCAAGCGACATTTGGCGAGGATGGGCGTCACGAATTTGTGCTACATGCTACAACCGGCATTGAAAGTTGCTACCACCAGCGTCCCATCTAGCTACAACCGCCTTCATGATTTGCTTCAACCAAAATCAAAGGGGAACGAGCAGCTGTTCTTTGCTACAACCAAAATCAAAGGGGAATGAGCAGCTGTTTTTTGCTACAACCAAGCTGCAACCGGCAACTCAAATGCTGGAACCGGCCAGCCCCAGTGCTGCAACCAGCGAGAGCAAGAACGACAGCTACCACCAGCGACGGCCGTGTTGCCATGGCGGTGGTGCTAGCCTTTTATTACTGCTACCGACCAGCCCGGGTGTTGGAACCGGTTATCTCTATTGCTGGAACCGATGTGCGAATTTGCTACCATGCCCGGCATCTGAAAAAGCTTCAACCGGTGGACGGTAAACCAACGATGGCGAGCGGCGGCGACGGAAGCTGCGAGCAGGCCGAAGATGGGGATGATGAACGAGCGAAGCTGGAACCATGGCTTGTTGGAGCTGCAACCATGGGCAGCGGAGCTGCACACTGGGGCGTATGGGGGACAGTTTTGCTTCGACCTGGGCTGGAGAAAGCTGCATCGACCTTATGTCCCAGCACGGCGAGCGGCGGCGAACGGCAGCAAGTGGAGGCACGGTGGTGCTTGGTGGCCGCGGGGGATGTGGAGCTACGTGCGCGCGCGCGGGCGTATCTGTTTTTTCCGGTCGCTCGTGGCCATAAATTGCGGGAGGAACAAGGGCGTGAGAGAGATGACTGAGTCCTCGTGTAATCCTGTGCGTCGGGGGCAATTGATCAAACAGATACATGGCGATCGGCCGAACCTAGCGCCGGTCCGCCGGCGCCTAGCATCGGCCTATTATTCAACTCCCTTAGTTTCTAAATATAAGGTGTATTAATTTTTTCAACACTTTAATCAAGTTTGTAGACAAAAATATCAAAGTCTAGATTCAACATGAAATATATTTATATGTTTTATTTGTTTAATATTATAGATCCTTATATATTTTTCTATAAACTTGGTCAAACATCGATAATATTTGACTTTCTGAAAAAATAATATGCATTATATACTACTCCCTTCGTCCCGTAATGTAGGACGTTTTTGCAAGCTATGTTAGCTTGCAAAAGCGTCTTATATTATGGGACGGAGGGAGTAGTATTTAGGAACAGAGGGAATGGGCAGTCTTGTGGTGAAATGCCATCGTTCTCATACAAATTCTTGCAAATGCACTTGTTTGCGATTTTAACATATATGTTCCCGTCGCGCGCGTCGTGAAGCCCGCTTCGAAACACGAAACGCCGCCTCTTCATTGCTGCGCCGCCGCTCCTCTTCCTCGCGCGGTCATCAAGGGGGAGGAGAACAGCCATCCTCCGTGCCTTCAAAAGGCAGACTCCGACTCTGCCACCGCTGCAAGTCCCCCAACCACCTCGTCGCCGTCTGCACGCGGGAACGCCACCCCAAGAGGCCTCCGCGCTCGTTTCTGCAAGCCTCCACCCCGAGCCCGACACCTCTCAACCCTCCGGCCCCGCCGGCCGCCGTCTGCGCGGCTGCTGAGATGGACGGCGTTGGACTGGGCGACCCGTCGCTCCGCACAGAGGAAGATACGTGCTACATCGCCACCTCCTACGACCTCGACCGCGCTCGGCTGGACTGGGAAAGCTCGGCCATCGTGGCTTGGACGCTCTCTGCACCGTCGGGGGCCGACCGCTCCGACGTTGAAGACGTCTTCTGCAGGAAGTACCGTCTCCGTCCCTCGGAGTTGGTGGTGAGCTCCCACTTCCCCGAGCAGTACATCGTCAAATTTTCCTCCGCCGAGCTCCGCGACCGGGTGATGCGCACCGAAAGATGCTGCTTCAAGCTTGATGGGCTCGACGTCCACTTCCGGCCATGGCGTGCGGTCTCACACGGCTACAACGCTGACCTCCACTACCGCGCCCATGTGTTGGTGGACGGCCTGCCGCCGTTCGCTTGGCGCCCGGAAATCGTGGACCAACTTGTGGGGCGGAACTGCGCGGTGCAACGGTTCGACGACGGCTTCACCACGATGGAGGTCACCTCATCGTTCGGTATGTGGGTCTGGACGCCGTCCCCGCGCCGCATCGCCAAGGCCATGTGGTGCACCTTCGTCAACAAAGCGCCTTGCGGCCTCTCTTCAAGGATTCGCATCGACGAGGACAGACCGGACCAGTGGAAGAGGGGCATGACCTTCCGGGTACTTCTCCACATCGACCGCATCGAGGATTTCAACGGCGCACCGGTGCTTGATGGTGACGCCCCTATCTCGGACTTCAGGCCGCGAGTGCACGCCCTCCCGCCTTGCCACCTGGGCACCATAGATGGCTTGCCAGTGGATGCGGGCGCCGGCTCCGTCCTCCCGGCGGCGATCCCACCACTCGGTGACCTCCGCCCGCGCGACAAGGACGCCCGCGACCAGAAGGACCTGGGAAGGTTTCAAGCCAGGCGCGGCGACTCTCGACGCTCCCGCTCAAGACCTGCGCCTGAGGGGTCGCGCCGCTCCCGCTCTCGACCCGCGGACGG